CCACTTGAGGAATGACACCTTGGGAGGTGACACCTTCAGAGAGTGACACCTTAGGAGGTGACACCTTCAGAGAGTGACACCTTGGGAGGGTGGCATCTTGGGGGATGGACACTCCTTCAGGAATGACACCTTGGGAGGTGACACCTTGGGAGGTGACACCACTTGAGGAATGACACCTTGGGAGGTGACACCTTCAGAGAGTGACACCTTAGGAGGTGACACCTTCAGAGAGTGACACCTTGGGAGGGTGACACCTTGGGAGGGTGACACCTTGGGAGGTGACACCACTTGAGGAATGACACCTTGGGAGATGGACACCTTGGGAGATGGTCACTCCTTCAGGAATGACACTTTGGGAGGTGACACCTTGGGAGGGTGACACCTTCAGAGAGTGACACCTTGGGAGGGTGACACCTTGGGAGATGGTCACTCCTTCAGGAATGACACCTTGGGAGGTGACACCACTTGATGAATGACACCTTGGGAGATGGACACCTTGGGAGATGGTCACTCCTTCAGGAATGACACTTTGGGAGGGGACACACACCTGTGGTAGGGCTGTGACACCTGGTGGCTGTGATGTCTCAGGGAGTTGTCACTTCAAGAAGGGACACCTAAGAAGATGAGGGGAGGGGGTGACAGAAGGTGACACCAGGCAGAAACCCCATGTGGGCAGCGCCAAAATGGGCATCACCTGCCACTCAGAGGGGCACGTGGGCATCCAGCAGTGCCACCCACTGCTGTGTCCCCCTGCCCAGGCTGTGGCAGTGCACTGCATGCTGGGCCATGGCAGGACTGGCACGCTGCTGGCCTGTTACCTGTGCAAGGAGCAGCACCTGGCAGGGGGTGATGCCATCCGTGAGATCCGGCGCCTCCGGCCCGGCTCCATCGAGACCTCAGAGCAGGAACAGGCCGTGCTCCGCTTCTGCCAGTGCCTGGGGTAGGTGCCACCCTCCTGGGTGGTTCCCTCCTCCAGCTGTGGCTCCCAAATGTCCCCAGTCCTCGCTCACTGGTGGCTTTTTCCCCTCCACAGCGCTGGCAAGGAGAGCTGAGCACATGGATGGCACCCATGGAATTGGGCACCCTGAGGTGCCAGGCGTGCCCAGCCCTGTCTGTCACCTCCTGCATTAAAGGACTGGCCTGTGGCTTCTCTCCAGGTGTGGTTTTGGGGTACACACTGGGGGGATGCTCTGCTGGGCACCCCCAGACCTGGCTTGGTTGGCAGCTGCACCCTGGGATTTGGGCCCTGGCTCTGGGTTTGGGGTTCCTCAGGGTTTGGGGTTCCTCAGGGTTCTGGTTCTGGATCCTGGGTTTGAGCTCCCTCAGGGCCCTGAATTTGGGGTCATTTAGGGTCCCAATTCTGGGGTTGTTCAGGATCCTGGTTCTGGGGTTCCTTGGGTTCCCAGATCTTGGCTCCTGGCTCTGGATCCTGGGTTTGGGGTTCCTCAGGGTTCTGGTTCTGGATCCTGGGTTTGAGCTCCCTCAGGGCCCTGAATTTGGGGTCATTTAGGGCCCCAATTCTGGGGTTGTTCGGGATCCTGGCTCTGGGGTCTTTCGGGGTCCTGGCTCTGGGGTGCTGGGTTTGGGGTTCCTCAGGGTTCTGGTTCTGCATCCTGGGTTTGAGCTCCCTCAGGGCCCTGAATTTGGGGTCAGTCAGGGTCCCGATTCTGAGGTTGTTTGGGATCCTGGCTATGGGGTCTTTTGGTGTCATGGCTCTGGGGTCCTAGGTTTGGGGTTCCTCAAGGTTTGGGGTTCCTCAGGGTTCTGATTCTGGATCCTGGGTTTGAGCTCCTTCAGGGCCCTGAATTTGGGGTCATTTAGGGTCCCAATTCTGGGGTTGTTCAGGATCCTGGTTCTGGGGTTCCTTGGGTTCCCAGTTCTTGGCTCCTGGCTCTGGATCCTGGCTTTGGGGTCCTAGCTCTGTGTCCTGACTCAGGGGTTCCTCAGAGTCCTGGTTCCAGGATCTTGAGTCTGGGGTCTCTCAGGGTTGTGTTTCTGGGATCTCTTGGTGTCCCAGCTCTGGGGTCTCTCTGGGTTCTGGCTTTGGGGTCCAACTCTGGGATCCTTTGGGGTACTCATTCTGGGGTGTCTCAGGGTCCCAGCTCTGAGCTCCTGGCTCTGGGTTCTGGCTTGGAGTCCTGGCACTGGGGTCCTGGTTCTGGATTCTGGCTTTGGAGTCCTCACTTTGGGGCTTTGGCTTTGGGGTCCCAAATCTGGGTCCTGGCTCTGACTTCTGATTTTGGGGTCCCAAATCTGGGTCCTGGCTTTGGGTTCTGCTTTGGACTCCTCATTTTGGGGCCTTGGCTTTAGGGTCTTAGATCTGGATCCTGGCTCTGGGTCCTGGCTCTGGGTCCTGGCTCTGGGGTCCCTCAGGGTGCTGTTTTTGGGGTCCCATGGGATCCCAGCTCTGGGGTGCCTCTGTCTCTGGGGTCCTTC